GGAAAGTACACAGAGCGATAGCGTATATGGGGAGGAGGTCTGAGTCTTGCAATGATGGGTAAAGATTTGATTAACTTTAGATTTATATCCTGATTTCAGGGTTAACTTGAGAAAAGCATAGAAATAAAGGAAACAATTTTCAAACTGAGAAGAACAAATGGAATGAAGAATATTCAGTCAATTCCAGAATTTGCAAGAAAGGAGAGAAATAGAAACATAGCACCTTGATACAAATAGAAAAAAAGTAGATAAAAATTTAAACCCAAATATATTGGTAACTTTTAAATTTAAATTACTAACTTCAGACAAAATGTCAGAGTGTTTTTATTTTATTTTTTTTCCCTCAGAGTGTTTTTAAAAAGATATTCCACATTAATAATATAGGAAGTTTGTAAAATAATTGAAAAAGACCTATCATGGAAACAATACCAAAAAATGTTTTATTTTATAGCTGTATAATATTAGACCATATAGTCAATGTATAATATTAGACCATATAGTATAATGCAAAACTCATTGCTAGAAATAAATTAGGTGACTTCATAATTGTATAAAGTTCTATTCACCAGGAAGCTATGAAAGTTATAAAATTATAAACACTTGATAATACAGCCTAAAAAATATATAAAACAACAAAGAAATAGAAAAAGTCACAATTTTATGGAAGATTTAAGATACTTTTCTCAACAACTGAGAAGAGACATAACAGAAATGAATAAGGATAATTTAAAGAGTACAGTTAACATGCTAACCTAATGAACAAATACAGAATGCTGTATCCACCAATTTAGAGTGCATGTTCTTTTCAAGTATATGTAGAGAATTTTCAAAAGTTGTCTATATCAACCACATAAACAATCTCAGAATATTTCAAAGGATTGAAATTATATTGGGCATTTTCTTCAAATAAATTAAGAAATATCCTTCCAAAACCCATGGGTCCAAAAAGTAGTCATAATAGAAATTAGGAAATATTTTGACCAAATGATGAGAGAATACGAATGTATCAAAATTTGTGTAATGCAGCTTAAAGGAGTACTTAGATGGAAATTGATAGCTTTAAATACATGTTAGGAAAGAAGAACAGCTGAAAGTTAATGAGATAAACATTCATTTAAAAAGGAAAAATAAGAGCCAAATAAACTCAAAATAGAGGACATGAAATAAAAGCAGGAGCATAAATTAGTGGATAAGAAAACACACATACAAAAGAGATCAAGGAATCAAAAGAAGGTTCTTTTTAAATTAAAAAAAAAAATTGAGAAATCTTTAATGAGCTTGATTGAGAAAAAAGAGAAAGCATAAATAACCAAAGTAAGTAATAAGATACAAAAAGGACACAGCTGCTGATGTTGTTGGACATTAGATAAAAACATATACTGAAACATTTTATGCAAGTAAATTGAGAAATATAGTTGAAATGGGCAGTAACATAAGAAACAGAATACCTTGGGTGCGGGTGGCTCACTCAATTAAGCCTCCGACTTTGGTTCAGGTCATGATCTCGTGGTTGGTGAGTTTAAGCCTTGTGTCAGGCTCTGTGCTAACAGCTTAGAGCCTGGAGCCCCTTCAGTTTCTGCATCTCTCTCTTTGGAGGATCCGAAGCAGACTCCTCACTGAGAACAGAGAACCTGTTGAGGGGTTGTACCCACTAACGTGAGATTATGAACTGGGCCAAAGTTGGATGCTTAACCGACCGAGCCCCCCAGGTGCCCCAAGTGGTGTGTTATTTTAAGAGAATGTAGCCAACATTATATTTAATGATGAAACTTTGAATGCTTTCACACTTAGATCGGACATAAGTAGTTAACCTTCAAAATAAAACTGACAGTTATTTTACCAGCGAAAGATGGATTTATTTAGGAATAGCAGAGACTTGTCATCCTGGACAAGCAAGCTGGGGCAAAACCATAGGCAAGTCCCCTGAACAAGTTTCTTTTTTTATAGAGGAAAAGGAGGAAGTTGGGTGGGCTCTTATAAACATTGGAGCCAACTGGGAGTTCAGAGTATAGTGGCCTTTCGTTGGCTGAGTTATGACAGTCTCTCATTGGCTAAACTGTTGCCAGGGGAGGAGGAAAGCCTTCTTTTTTCCTTCTGGGACAGTCAGGTAGATTCCACATGCAAAGTCCCTCTCTTCATTTAGGCTGCAGTTGACAACTAGTGATAGGACATGAGAGTTCCCACTGCTGGCCTCCTGCCTCCATTCTAAATGAAATTTCCTTTTATTAATTTTCACAAAGTCAAGGATGTCTACTATCATCACTAATTTTCAGTATCATAATGGAGGCTTTAGCTAAGGTGGTAAGGCAAGAACAGGAAAAAAGAAAGCAGTAAGGATTTGAAAGGAGAAAACAAAACTACCATTCTCTATAGATAATGTGTTTGTGTATGTAAAGAATATCCAGATAAGTTTTTATAGAGAATTTAGCAATGTTGCTAGATATTGAGTCAATATACAAACATCAATTATGTTTCCATAATTGATTTCCAGAAACAAAACTTTTGATTAAAGATGTTTATGGTAGCACCAACACTATGCACTATGAATAAATAATTAACAGGATATATGTAAGACCTTGGTGTTATCTAGGGAGGAGCTGAGAAACTCAGTAAAACAAAAGTGTAAGTCCTTATTTGTTTTCTTCTTTTCAAACAAATCTAGGAAACATTCAGCATTTAAATTCAGTTGGCTTACATTATATAGGCTTATACATTTTGTCCAATATATGTCACAGAAAAACATCTTAAAATAATTGTTTACAATGTTATTTTTGGAGCACATTGGTAAATAGAATATCTTAGTAATAGAAAGAGATTTGGGGTTCTTTCAGTCTGAGTCTTTACCCAAACTGGAAGTCTTTTATATAGCATCCTTTTTTTTTTTTTAATTTTTTTAAATGTTTATGTTTGTTTTTTTATTTTTTGGTTTATTTTATTTTATTTTTTAATTTTATTTTTTTAATATGAAATTTATTGTCAAATTGGTTTCCATATACAACACCTAGTGCTCATCCCAACAGGTGCCCTCCTCGATGCCCATCACCCACCCTTCCCACCCTCCCACCCCCCATCAACCCTCAGTTTATTCTCAGTTTTTTAAGAGTCTCTTATGGTTTGGCTCCCTCCCTCTCTAACCCTTTTTTTTTTCCTTTCCCTCCCCCCATGGTCTTCTGTTAAGTTTCTCAGGATCCACATAAGAGTGAAAACATATGGTATCTGTCTTTCTCTGTATGGCTTATTTCACTTAGCATAACACTCTCCAGTTCCATCCACGTTGCTACAAAACGCCATATTTCATTCTTTCTCATTGCCATGTAGTATTCCATTGTGTATATAAACCACAGTTTCTTTATCCATTCATCAGTTGATGGACATTTAGGCTCTTTCCATAATTTGGCTATTGTTGAAAGTGCTGCTATAAACATTGGGGTACAAGTGCCCCTATACATCAGCACTCCTGTATCCCTTGGATAAATTCCTAGCAGTGCTATTGCTGGGTCATAGGGTAGTTCTATTTTTAATTTTTTTGAGGAACCTCCACACTGTTTTCCAGAGTGGCTGCACCCATTTGCATTCCCACCAACAGTGCAAGAGGGTTCCTGTTTCTCCACATCCTCTCCAGCATCTATAGTCTCCTGGTTTGTTCATTTTAGCCACTCTGACTGGCGTGAGGTGGTATATCAGTGTGGTTTTGATTTGTATTTCCCTGATGAGGCATTCTTGAAAGCTCTCTCTGGTGATAGTTCATTCACTTTCTGCCTGAAATTTCCACTATTGGACCTAGTACTGAATCGTTTCATGAAGATTTTATTAAGTACGTGTTTACCAAGTATCATGATAACTATCTTGTCAAATCTAAGACATCAGTTGTAAGTTGTATTATTTCTTCATGTTCTACTAAATGAAAAAAATGTTGCCACTCCTTGGCTATAACTACATCTTGATTTCAAAGATACTAAAAAACATTTTTTTTAAAGCATCTTATGGGGGTGACTGGGTGACTCAGTCGGTTGACCATCCAGCTCTCGATTTTGGCTCACATCATGATCTCATGGTTTGTGGGATCGAGCCCCATCCGGGGCTCCTTGTTGACAGCATGGAGCTTGCCTAGATTCTCTCTCTCCTCTCTCCTTCCCCTGCTTGCACACGTTCTCTCTCAAAATAAATAAACATTTTTAAAAAATAAAACATTTTATGATTTATTAAACATTTCTATAGAAGTATTTCCACTGTTTTATAATTTAGGAATACCACTAAAAAAAAACCTTGGTTTCCTGGTTATTTTGCCGTTCTGGTCATTTTTCTTGAGATGCCTTGTAGTTTATTAAGTTGCTTAAAATTGAATAAGATACAGGTACAGACTTCAAAAAGAAAATTGTAAAATACTAAAATCAGTATATTCAGAAGGTAGAATACTCTTGTAAATTCATGAATTAGGGTCTTGTTAACCTCACAAGATATTCAGTAATTTTTTCCTTAAAACAAGGCAGTCCATAACCATGAAAAAATTGTTGTGTTTTCATTTATACAAGTATGTAGATTTAAATTTTGCACATCATACTTTTCACAGCAAGATTTTCTCATTCTTTTACTCATTCTTTTAATTGGGGTTAAAGATGCTACTTTCTTTTACGTTAACATTTTTTATAACAAATATAAACTGGAATGTAGTACATGTTTTTTATTCTGTCTACAAAATTATTACTGCTTATAATATTTCAACCTCAGAATATTTCTAAGTAACAAAGATATTTACTTGTTTTAGTTGTGAATATTTACATTTGAATATTTTAATTTCACAATCATGTGATTTCTGATAGTCATTGTTTGATTGTTTATTGTGTGTTGCCTACTTCAGCTTAATACACGTTAAGGAAAAATGACACCTTATAGTATGTAAAATTTATAAATTTCTAAATCATATAGAGTTCATGGTTTTTGATTATTATAAAATTAACTCTTCCAGTAGGTTATATATTTTTCTCTCTTTTACAACACAGGTTTTGAGAGTATTTTAGAAGGGCTTTATGGACCACGGCTACGAAGAGACCTCAGTTTATTTGAAGGTAATGCTTTTTAAATTTTATTTTAAAACTCTGTCCCATTTAATACACAAAAAATGGTTGTTCTATGCTAACTTTATATTAAATATGAATTTGTGGTCTTGTTTAATTAGTATTTTTAAATGAATAAATAAAATCCAAATATTTTGTTTTATAAATCTTTTTAAAAACTTTAGTACACTGATCAAAATGGAAACTGAAGCTTGTTTTTGGCTTAATGGTACAATTTAATTTTTATTACATATTATGTGTCCTCACTTATTCTTAAAGAAGATTTAAGTAAATATTTTCTGTTGCTCATGAGATAGGCAGCCTGGAAATAAGATTGTCATTCTGAAAAATCCTGCCATGTGTGTTCAGAATCTTATATTTATGTATAATACTATTTGTTATGTAGTATAGCCATCTCTTTCAAATGCTGTAGCATAAATCCTAGTGGAAGATTTTGATTTATGATATAATTACTGTGATACCCTAGTTCAATTGTTTTATTGCTTGCTTGGAAATGTAGAGCACTAGGAAAGAACAGTTTTGTAGACATCTGAAATTATATTCCTGTTTATTCACAAAATGGGTAGTGCTAGTATAGATTTACTGCTTTGATTTTGATCAAATTATTTCTGAGTCTTGTATGGGGTCAGTTTTATGTACTAACTCTGTTACCTTCTATCCTGTGGTACCTGCCATTCTACCAAGACCCAAGACATCTCTACAGGCCCTTCTCTCTTCTTTATAAATAAGTCTTTAAGTTGAGGGAGTGATGGTGGGAGTTGAGGAAGTGATGATGGGAGTAGTCAGAGTTTTCTGCTCTTTCTTTATTAATGTTGAGCAGGATAATTGAGTTATAAATTGTAGATCTGAAAGTATCTGTGAAAGATCATTTGTCTCAACCACCTGTCTTCAGTGAGATGAATTGATACACATGTAGAACACGACTTTAAGAATGAAGATTCCAAAATGTGCTTGTTCTTGTGTTTTATTATTCTTATAGCTAAGATCATTTTTTATTTCTTTTAACTTTAATCATTTCTCATCTTGTCATAATTCAACACTGAATTAAGTATTTTTACCTGATATATTTTTTAGCAGTACTAACTGTAATTTCACCTATATTTCTGAGCTTACAAATGAACAAAGGAAACATTTAAAGAAACAAAAATTTAACCTATGCTTGACCTATTTCTTCAGCTTTCCTTTCTTAACCTGCTCTCCTCATTCATGTCAGAAGTCAACATTATACTTAATTGTCTTCTGGTAACCCAAATTACAACTTAAGACTCTTAGCCTGTTGCTTCCCCTACTTTCATTTGTTTATACATTGTATATGTATGTGTATATTTATGTTCATTCAGAAATTGTTTATTATGCAAAAGGCAGAATGTTCTAAGGAAATAAATGCTTTGTTTTTTGTTTCTAGGCCAGTATTCCTTTAGTATGCACGTTTTACATGTTTATTTTAGGGAATTTGAAAATACAGATAAGCCAGAAAGAAAAACATTACTCCTAGTCCCACAATCCATAGATAACCTTTAAACATTTTTATATAAATGTAAGATATGTGCTTGTGTATATTTATTCTTTTATTATAGTAGTGTATACTCTACGCACAGTGTATATAGTTTCTGTGCATATTGTGTTCACTGGTATATCATTTTGGTGTATAACGCCTAGATCATCTTTCATCTTTCTTAACAGTATTTCATTGTAGATCTATTTATAATTAATTTACTTAGTTGATTTAATCACCCATTGCAGTATATCTCATTCCATTTATTTAAATTCAGATAGATCTTATACTTTATGTCCTTTTTAGTGATTTTTTTGGTGAGAGTAGTTAACAAAATTAGCTAAGCTTTGGAACTTGCATATAAGCACATATTCATTGCCTTTTTTTCACCCTCAGATACTCTTTCATCAGGTTTCTTAGGTAAATTCTTCCTCCTTTTTCTGCTTTTATGATTAAAAAAAAAGCTTCTAATTAAATTGTAGCTTTAAGAATGATAATATAATAGCAATAAATCTGTAATCTGTGCAAGGATGAAGACAGCCATGTATTTTGAAGGAAAATTAAATAAAAAATGTAGAGCCTTTTGAAAAGGCATGTAAAAACTATCCATTATAGACATCTCCAGCTTCTTTCTTACCTCTTATAAATAAGTGTGCTTGTTTTGTTGCCAATGTTAAATATGGTTTAATATTTAGATGCTGAGACTACAAGTATAGGGATTTCTCACTAAAGAAATTTGTATGCAGAATTCAAATAGATTAGTGTATGTTTTCAGATAAATCATTGGAAATCTGAACCTTTATTACTTTGCAAAACCCAGAAACTAAGTATATTACGTGGCAAAAGATTCTTGTATATTACTCCAAATTATTTTTTATTAAAAAATTAAACTTTTAAGCAAAAATTCCCTCTTTTTTTCTGCTTTAGTCAGTCCTTTCTCATGTCTTATTTGTGAGCTGGTTTCTTCCACCTATGGGATCATCTGATTTATTTGTGACTGTGAATATTTACAAAAATACGATAAGAGTGCAGTAGGCCTATGTAAGCTGGCTGATAGATCCTTACTGGTTTTTCTCTAGGTGTGTCTACATTTGGAAGGGAGATTATATCAGAGGTCTGCAAGCTATAGCATGTGGGGCAAATACAGCTTGTTGGCTTTTGAATGGCCTCTAAGCTATGAGTAATTTTTACATTTTTAAATAGTGGGGAAAAAAACAAAAGAAGATTAATAGTTCATAGCATGTGAAAATTATGTGAAGTTCAAATTTAATTGTCCTGTTAATAAAGTTTTATTGGAAACAGCCCCTCTTATTTGTTGAAACATTTTCTGTCTGCTTTTATGCTACAACAGTAGAGTTGAATGGCGTGACAGATGTTATGGCCTGCAAAACCTAAAATATTTACTATTTGGCTGTTTATGGAAAAGCTTTGCTGACCCCTGATTGTACCACTGACTGAAGTTTAATATCTTTGACATAATATCCTTTTTTCAACTCTAAACACTATGATGGTGGAGACAACAAAATTACTTTTTATTTTTTATTTGTTTTTATTTTTATTTTTGAGAGAGAGAGAGTGTGTGAGTAGGGGAGAGGGGCAGAAGGAGAGAAAATATCAAGCAGACTCCATGCTTAGTGCAGAACTCAGCTTGAGGCTGGATCCCATGACCCTGGATTAGGACCTGAGCTGAAATCAAGGGTCAGATGCTCAACTGACTGAGCCACCCAGGTGCTGCACAAAACAATTTTTTAAGATTTATTAGGTGAAACATTAAAAAAAATTTTTTTTAATTTTAGAGAGAGACCACAAGTGGGGGAGAGGGGCAGAGGGAGAGATAGAATCTTAAGCAGATTCCATGCTCAGCACAGAGCTCGCACAAGGCTCAATCCCATGGTCATGACCCCAGCTGAAATCAAGAGTCAGACACTTAACTGACTGAGCCACTCTGGCCCCCCTTCCCCCCAATTTTTTTTTTTAATCTGAGTATAGTTGATACACAATGTCACATTAGTTTCAGGTGTGCACATAGTGATTGGACTTCTCTATATGTTATGCTCACCCCAAGTGTAGCTATCACCTGTCATCATACAGTACTATTACAATATTGACTATATTCCCTGTGCTGTGCCTTTTATTCCTGTGACTTATTCATTCCATAACTGGAAGCCTATTATTCCCCACCCCCCTTCACCCATTTTGCCTGTCCTCCCACCCCACCCACCCCTTCCTTACCTTTGGAACCACCAGTTTATTCTCTGTATAGGTCCAGTTGTGCTTTTGTTTATTGATTTGATTTTTTTTTTTTTTTTTTTTTTTTTTTAGTTTGCACATGATTGAAATCATATGGTATTGGTTTTTCGCAGTCTGACTTGTTTCACTTATAATACTCTCTAGGTCCACCCATGCTGTCACAAATGTCATAATCTCATCCTTTTTTAAGGCTGTGTAATATTTTAGTATGTATGTGCATCTCACATCTTTCTTATCCATTCATCTATCAATGGACACTGGGTTGCTTCCCATCTTTAGGTTATTATAAATAATGCTTCAGTAAAACATAAGCGTGCATGTATCTTTTTGAATTAGTGTTTTGGGTATTTTTGGGGTAAATAGTATTGGAATTACTGGATCATATGGCATTTCTATTTTTAATTTTTTGAAGACTCTCCACACTGATGTACCAATTTTTCTTCCCACTAACAGTATACAAGAGTTTCTTTTTCTCTACATCCTCTATAACTCTTGTTGTTTCTTGCATTTTTTAAATCAAGTTTTTATTTAAATTCTAGTCAGTTAACATACAGTGTAATATTAGTTTCAGGTATAGAATTTAGTGATTCATCACTTACATACAACACCCAGTGTTCATCACAAGTGCCCTCCTTAATACCCATCACTTGTTTGCCTTTTTGATTTTAGCCATTCTGACAGGTATAAGGTGATATCTCATTGTACTTTTGATTTGCTTCCGTGATGATGAGTGATGTTGAGCATCTTTTCATGTGCCTGTGGTCATTTGGAAAAATGTCTATTCATGTTCATATTTTAGGTGGATTATTTGTGTTTTTTTTGTTATTGAGATGAATAAATTCTTTATATATTTTGGATGTTAACCTCTTATCAGATATATCATTTGCAAATATCTTTTCCCATTCTGTAGGTTGTCTTTTTGCTTTGTTGATGGTTTCCTTTTCTCTGCAGAAACTTTTTATTTTGATGTGGTCCCAATAGTTTATTTTTGTTTTTGTTTCCTTTGCCCGAGGAGACATATCTAGAAAAATATTGCTACCACTAATGTCAGAGAAATTACTGCTTGTGTTCTCTTTTAGAAATTTTAAGGTTTCAGGTCTCACAATTAGGTCATTAATCCATTTTGACTTTATTTTTGTGTATGATGTAAGAAAGCAGTCCAGTTTCATTCTTTTACATGTAGCTATCTGGTTTTCTTAGCATTTATTGAAGAGATGTCTTTTTCCCCATTGTGTATTACCTTTTT